TTCCCAGTGTCTGGTTGTGCAAATTAAACATCCTTTATTTTTCTTCTTAAACTGGAAAATGTCTGTCATTGAAGTGATGGATGACAGTGAGGCACCGAGGCCTGCCCCCACTTCCAGGAGATGACAAAGTGACACCAAAACCTGGCTGCCCTCCCATTCTACCACCAAAGCTTACAGAGTTGGAAAAGCCCAAAGGTTTGGGATGTGCTTTGGTTTGGGGCCTTTTGTGACATTGCCAATCCTCAGGCAGCTGCAGGAGGAGCACAACCATCCCAGGGCTCATTTCTGCCCCTCCACGAGGAACCCACTGAGCTGAAAGGCTGAGGGGAGCGTCCAGCCCAAAGGACAAACAGCTTCAAGCCGCTCTGGAAACTGCAAATAATGTGGGAACATCAATCCTTCAGAAAAACCACGCTGAAGAGAAGCACAGCATTGTCCTGCCTCTGGTCTCCTACCTCTCCAAGCTCCCAGTGCAGTACTGGGAACAGTCAGGAGCTGCTCTGGGGCTGCAGGGGAGCACACCTACCCACAGGGAGAGATGTGGAATCATAAAACTGCCTCTCCTGGAGACCATGATCACTACAGGACTGCACATTAGTAAAAGTACACTCTATTTTCTTAATTATAAAACACGAAAGCAGCACGTTCAAGTAATTTATCAATAAATGTGACATGAATAAAAACTAAGATGAACTGTAAAAAAAAAAGAAAAGGCAGTAAAAGGGGGCTCTGAGCTGCCTCATGAGGTGTTGTTTTCCATAAAAAGATGAGCAGGAAGATTTCTCTTAATGAGCTGTTAACAGAAGGAAATTAGTTCAAGACTTCAGGGCAAGAACTTCCTTATTCCAGGTTTGTACAGTTTGGAGTACAAGGAGATTTTTCTTCCTGCTGGTACCTGGTGCTACTGGCAGCTCCTAACCCAGGTTTTACATTCATCAGCAGGAATTAATGAACCCAGTAAAACAAGAGACAAGACAACCCAAGGAAAACTCCCAGCACCGGGGAGAAAAGACAGAGTGAGGGAAAGGGGGTTTGAAACACAGAGCTGAAGAAAGAAACTCGGGAAGCAGCAAAGTCTGAGAGCCTGGGGAGGTGGCAGACCCCAAAGCACACACGAGCTGCAGGGAACAGGGAATTGTGGCTGGGCCAGCCCCAGAGCTGTGCCACCCTGAGCTCTGAGCGCCAGCTCTGCCCCTGGCAAGGGCTCAGTGAGCTGGCACCCAGGCAAGCAGCCCAAGGAGAATGGAGTGGATTCCTGCAGGACAGAGGCACAGGGAGAGCAGCACAGCTGCAGCACTCGGGGCTGGCTGTGCTCAGAGCTCCTCGGTGACAGGAAGGAGCAGGGGCAGTGCTGGATTTCCCAAGCAGTGACAGCAGCCCTGTCATTTCACAAGCTGCACTGCATCTCCTTAGTCATTAGTGACTGCCGACAAGGAGTCACTACTCTCATCCTGCCACAGAGGAGTAATTGCCACACAAGTCCTTTCATCCTGACTTTTGCAATTCTATGAACTTGATTGCTTATTTTCTTAGTTTAACACAGTTAGCAGGATATTTTACATACCTCTAACCCTGCTCTGGCTAAATGTAATCTGTTAAAGTTTCTTGACTCGTTTCCAAACACTCCCTCTTCACCCTACAGCCCCTCCATCTCCCCACAGCTCGGGGTGTTCTGTTCCCCCAGTTCACAGAAGGTGACACCAACCTCAGTTTGGTTTTGGCACATACTCTGAGGTAGACACTGAAGGTGAAGGAGGACAGGGGGTCTTGCTGGGAAGGGACCTCAAAGCCCATCCAGTGCCACCCTTGCCATGGCAGGGACACCTCCCCCTGTCCCAGGGACACCTCCCCCTGTCCCAGGTGCTCCCAGCCTGGCCTTGGGCACTGCCAGGGATCCAGGGCCACCACAGCTGCTCTGGGCACCCTGTGCCAGGGCCGCACGCCCCCACAGGGAAGGATTCCTTCTGTGTATCTAATCTAAACTGAAGTTTAGGTATCTAGGCTCAAATGTTGTTATTTGCGAGCCTCTGCTGAAGATAACTGTGACATAGTAGCGAGAGAAAGGAAACAGGCCTGCAGAACAAACCACAGGTGAGTAACAAACTGAAATTATGTGGCCAAGAACAATTATTGCCACAGAAAAGAAACCTCAGTCACCAAAAACTCCAGACCATTCCTACATCCTCACAGAGGGGGACTCCAAACACGGCATGGAGCTCACACTGCTCCCTGTGAGCTCAGCACACACATCCCTGTGGCTCTGGGAAGCTGCTCAAGCTCTCTCCGTGCCCAAATCCGCCCAGGGCTGAGGCGCTGCCTTCCTGGCTCGGCTCTCAAGACAACCCTCAGTACTTCTGCCCTCAACACTGCACATGTCCCATGATCTGGAGCAGAGGGTAAGAGCAGTGGTGATGACATAACCCCTAAACTGAGAGGATGAGCAGGGAGGGAGGGAGGGAGGGAGGCACCAGAGCAGTCACGAGCAGCTCTGGCCCCTGTCCCAAGCACTGGAAACGCACTGAGGGACACGATGACAGCAGCTCCACCATCACCTGGTGACAGAGCCCTGCTGCCAGGCAGGCGGTGCCAAGGGCTGCTGTCTCAGTCAGTAAGGTCACTGTGAGTGCCCTTAGTCACATCCGACGGGAGCACCCACGCTGGAAACCACGGGGGCAGCACCGCCCGCCGGCAGCCACGGGAGCAACTGGTGGCAAATGCCACCCTGCCACGGGCCAGCTGCCACCTCAGGACGCGTTTCTGCTGCAGCTCCTCATCCACCAGGCCCCCAAGGAGCCAACTCCATGGTTTGTGCAGACAGAAATGTGGCATCTTCTCGTTAAGGGTTGTAACCGTGCAAAAGCATCTGCGCATTCCAGCTTCCCAAAAACCCATGCTGGAAATCCAAGCCATATTTCACTGGGTTTTATCGTGATTTATCATGTCCAGGTCACTAGAACTGGCAAGAATGCTAAACACATAAATATGAGTTATTTTTCTGGGTTGCTGTGTGGTTTCTCACACAAAACCCAACCCGGGGGCTCAGTCTCACTCACTCAATGTCTGAGACAAGGAGAAAAGCCATGAAACAAGAACTGCAGAGATGTTTAGAGGAAATATCAGGGACCTGAGGCAGCTTTTGAGATCAGAGTTAAAATCCACTCTTCTCCTTCATTGCTGTTAAACTGATTGTACTGGAGTCCTGGTGCACACAATATGAAAAAGATTAAAAAAAGACAGCATCCAAAGGAGGGACACAGGGATGGGGAAGGGTGCGGAAGGACCAAGAAGGAGCTGCTGAGGGCACTGGGATTGTTCTGCTGGAGAAGAGGAGCCTGAGGTCAGAGCTCACTGGGGGCTGCAGCTCCAATCTCTGCTCCTGGGACAGGGATAGCACCCAGGGCAGGGCTGGAGCTGGGCCAGGGCAGGGTCAGGGTGGATTTTAGGGAAAGGTTCTTCCCCAGAGGGTGCTGGCACTGCCCCGGCTCCCCAGGGATGGGACACTGCTCCAGGGATGCCCAGGGTGGGATTTTGGGCTGTGCAGGGCCAGGAGCTGGGCTGGGTGATCCCGTGGGTCCCTCCCAGCTCAGGATACTCCAGGGTTGTCTCACTCCTGAGCACAGGAGAGTCTGCTCTCACACAGAGCTGCAAACACCCCGTGCAGGAGGCAGCAAATGCCAAAAATCAACATTGACACATTAATAAAGACAAGATATTAATACTGCCAAGAGATAAATTTTCCCTTTTGCTCCCGACCAACAAGACCTGCCCCAGTCCAAGCACTGAGTGCCTCCAGTGTGACACTGGGACTGTCCCTCACCTCGAGGCTGACACTTTAATCACGTTTTCCTCATTAGAGGAGCCATGAAAGGACCAATCAGGTGCACAACCACTCCTGCAAAGGACTTCACCAGCCCCTGTTTTGCAATAACCCCCCAGGCTGCAAATCCCCATCTGCCAGGGACCTGAGAGCAGAATTCGGTAGTTTTAAAGGAATGCCAGGAACTAGAAACACACCTGAGAGATCAGCAGCTGGAAGGGAGCCCGGGTGACAAACAAACACACGGGGCTGAGCAGAACCAGCTCAGGGACACCGAGGAAGGGCCTGATCAGTCCCACAGGGGCCTGGCTGCCAACACGGGGATGTTTAAAGCCACCAGTACTGCTGAGGAAATGATCAAACAAGGCTGAGATGGGGTGAGAGATGAGCTGGGGGCACAGCAGGCCCCACCTGCCCCTCTCAGGCTCCTTTTCCATCGTGCAGCACCTGCCGGGCTGTGAGCAGGGTTTGGGACAAGCACGGAGCTCTGCCCCAAAATGCAGCGGAACACTTGTCCAGAACAGAGGCACAGACGGCGCTGAACGCACCGGTACCGGGCCACAGCCTCAACAGCGGCTCGCTTTGTTCTGTTCGTGGGAAAAGGGGAAAAGGGAAAAACTCAGCGCAGAGCGCAGGACTGCTGAGCGGGGGCTCCTCTACCGAGTCCGGTGTACCCCCACCGGGAGGAGGCTTTACATAACAGCCCCCGGCTCCGGCCGCGTCCGAGCCCGGCCCCGCCTGCCCTGCCCGGGGCCGGTTCCATCGGCGGGCCCCGCCCGGGCCCCGAGCCCCGTCCCGGAGCGCTCCGGCCCCGAGCCCGTGCGGAGAGCAAAGGGGAAGGAACAAAGCCCTGACGTCAATGACCGGAACGGGATTAAATCCATCACCGGGGCGGGCAGCGCAGCGGCGCCGGCGGCACCGAGCCCAGCCCGGGTCCGGTGCCGGGAATACCCCGGCCGGTCCCCGGGAGGGACCCCCGCCCTCCGCCCGGCGTCACCGCGGGGCGCGCCCGGCCAAACCCGCGCTCCCCGGCGGGAGATGCGCCCGCAGCGGCCGATCCCGCCCCGGGCCCGGCGGTTCCGCCGCGGGGGCGGCCGGGGTGTCCCGGAGTGCCCGGCCCGAGGGCGGCGCGGCCCCGGCGCTGCCCCGCCGCCGGCGGAAGGCCCGGCCCGGCCGCGCTCACCTGCGCTGGCCGCTCCGCTAGGCCCGGACCATCTCCTGGCTGCCGCCACCGGCGAACGATGAGGCCCGAGGAGCCGCCGGCGAGTCACGGAGCGCCGGGGGGCGCGGGGCGGGCCCGGCCCGGGGGCGGGGGGCGGCTCACAAGCGGGCGGCCGCTCCGTAGGGGTCCCGGCGGTCCATGGCGGGCCGGCGCCGGGCTGGCGGCTCGCAGGGCGCGGGCAGGGCCGCGGCTCGGCCGGGGCTGCGCTGGGCCCGGTCCCGGTGCCGATCCCGTTCCCGGCCCGGTCCCGCCTGGCGCTTCCCGGCGGCCCCCGCGCGCCGCCGCCGCCCCGATCACGTGACGCGAAGGGAAACCACGTGACCCCGAAGGAGCGCGAGCGTAGGGGGCGTGGCGAGCGCCCGGCCCCGCCTCCCCCGCGCGGCGGCGGGAGAGTCACGTGGGGCAGCGCGCGGGGAGCGCCCCCGCGGCCGTGGCGCCCCCTGGCGGCGGCGAGCGGGAACCGGGACCGGCCCGGGGTCAGGGGGGAGGCTGGGCAGGAATTGCCGGCTGGCAGGGCGGGCAGGCCTGGCACAGGTGCCCAGAGCAGCTGGGGCTGCCCCTGCATCCCTGGCAGTGCCCAAGGCCGGGCTGGACACGGGCTGGGAGCCCCTGGGACAGTGGAGGTGTCCCTGCCATGGCAGGGGTGGCACTGATGGTGGCACTTTGAGGTCCTTCCAACCCAAACCATGCTGGGACTCTGGGATGCTCTGCTACTGTGGTGCCAAGGGTGCAACACACACGGCTGCTGAACAAAGGAGGCCCAGCTGAGGCAGGAGCCATGGTCCCAGGGCTGGTACAGGCACAGCTCAGGCAGCAGCCATGGTCCCAGGGCTGGTAAAGGCCCAGCTCGGGCAGGAGCCATGGTCCCAGGGCTGGTACAGGCACAGCTCAGGCAGCAGCCATGGTCCCAGGGCTGGTACAGGCACAGCTCAGGCAGGAGCCATGGTCCCAGGGCTGGTACAGGCACAGCTCAGGCAGCAGCCATGGTCCCAGGGCTGGTACAGGCACAGCTCAGGCAGGAGCCATGGTCCCAGCGCTGGTACAGGCACAGCTCAGGCAGGAGCCATGGTCCCAGGGCTGGTACAGGCACAGCTCAGGCAGCAGCCATGGTCCCAGGGCTGGTAAAGGACCAGCTCAGGCAGGAGCCATGGTCCCAGCGCTGGTACAGGCACAGCTCAGGCAGGAGCCATGGTCCCAGCGCTGTTACAGGCACAGCTCAGGCAGGAGCCATGGTCCCAGCGCTGGTACAGGCACAGCTCAGGCAGGAGCCATGGTCCCAGCGCTGTTACAGGCACAGCTGAGGCAGGAGCCATGGTCCCAGGGCTGGTACAGGCACAGCTCAGGCAGGAGCCATGGTCCCAGCGCTGGTACAGGCACAGCTCAGGCAGCAGCCATGGTCCCAGCGCTGGTACAGGCACAGCTCAGGCAGCAGCCATGGTCCCAGGGCTGGTACAGGCACAGCTGAGGCAGGAGCCATGGTCCCAGCGCTGGTACAGGCACAGCTGAGGCAGGAGCCATGGTCCCAGGGCTGGTACAGGCACAGCTGAGGCAGGAGCCATGGTCCCAGGGCTGGTAAAGGACCAGCTCACACAAACAGAATTTCTCAAGATAAATCCCTTTGCTGGAGAAGCTCCCATCTATTGAGGACTCCTCCCTAAGAAAACAAAGCAGTGCACTACCCCCCAGGGACTGTGCAGTGCACTGGCACCCAAGGCTGCTTCAGGCTGGGTTAATAAGGCCTGCACTCACAAATGGCGCTGTCTCCCCCTGCTCCTGCTCCCCTGTTTCTCCTTGAGAGGGGAGGGCTCTTCCCGAGGCTGTTTTCCATCAGCTGCTGCCCACAGCGAGCAGTGGCAGCTTTGCTCGGAATGGGAGGGATTGAAAAGGGCAGTGCCTGGAAGCACTCCGGGCTCACGGGGCTTTTGTAAAACTCCTCATCCACCGGCAGAGCTGAAGTGAGGCACTGACAGAGCAAAGCTCTGGCCAGGCTTGGAGTTACTCTGTAAAATAACAACACCTAGAGACAAAGTAACCAGAAAAAGCAAGAAGAGAAAGCCCAATATAAACATTGTATTTGAAACTAAACTTTTTTTTTTTTTTTAATCTTGATACAGAACGACTTCTGGCTGGAGAACCTCCTGGGGAGCAATCCTGCCCCTCTGTGAGGGAATGTCAGGGCAACTCCAGCTGAAACCTGCACACAAATATTTTAGATATTTGCAGTAAGCCTCAACTTAGCAACTAGTGTTTAATAATTGATTGACTTTCCCATTAAATGGCACAGTCACTGCACAAGATTGAACACCTTTCTGGTAGTTTTATTTACAGCCTGCAGCGTGTTCTGTAAAACACAGGAGTATCACAGACAGACACACAACATGGGGATTTTCAAACATTTAAATAAGTACAGTTTATTCCAAATTCTACACACTACTCTTTCCATAAAAATATAAAAAATAGTTTAGTTACTGTATTTAACCTAAAACAAGATACTTGAGAATTCTTCCACAAGTGATGCCCCCTCCCCCCAAAAGGGCACTCCAACAATAAGAAATTCAGGAGACTGCATCACCAAGTAAAATACTACCAGCAACTGCTCCAATCCACCAGCAAACCAAACAATTCCCACTCTGCATCCAGCACTCCCTGCTCTGCAGCATGTTTGGTCTGCTTTTGTTGGGTTTGTGGGGTTTGCACTCACTTGCTCCTCCAGGGCCAGTCCCACGTTTAAAGCATGGCTGGATTCCTGCAGAGGGCCAGCACAGCCTGGCAATCAGCACCTCACACATCCAGAGGGGAGCCCTTCCCTTTGAGCCCTGTACTTCAGGGAGTCCCTTCCTTGCTGAGCATCCAGTGAGAGCAGGGCCCAGCTCTGTTTGTCGTGATTTCTCTGGTTTTGCTGCCCCTATTACAGGTGGGAACGCTCTGATGGAGTTCTGCAGGACACCCACTCCAGCCCTTGTCTCTGGGGAACACTGAATTTACAAAAAAAGGCACAAAGATGAAACTCCTAAAGCAGCAGCAGCCCTGATTCACTGAGCTGCTGCTCTCCAACACCAACCCTGTGTCTCACAAACACCTCCAACACAGCAGCCAAGGGCACAGGGCAGAGCCTGTGGGCAGGACAAGCACAACACCGAGCAGGGACAAATCAACACAGCTCAGCTGGCTGCTGCAGTTAGGACTGGACCTGGAAGCATCAGGAAAAGCCACTGGAACACAAGCTCAGCAGCACAGAGCCCTCTGTCACCAGAGAGATGGGAGGCTCTGTGTGGGACACGGTGTGCATTCAGGTCCAACAATGCCACAGCTCCACAGCAGCACTGAAAAACTTCTGCTTTTAACAGTTTAGAGGATTTTTCTCAATGGAAGTGAAGCTGTCGTTAACAGAGGAACAGCACATGATGCACAGCATAATCTGCAACAGAAAAAAAAGCTTATGCTTTCCAGCATGTAAACACCCAGGTTCAGCTGCTACTGGACTTTAGTTCTCATAAACAAATCTGATTAATAGAATTTTTTTTTTTTTTGGGAGCTAAAAAAGTAAAATCTTCCATAAAACGATAAACCACAAAAATACTCTCTCAGTAAGTCTCACGTGCCATTTAATACCTTCCATGTCCTATGAACAACTGGGCAGAACACTTAGAAATGGGAGCAGTAGAAATGTTGACCACGGAGCGTTTGGCAGCCGTGTGTCCAGCCCCTGGCAGGGCAGTGTCACTCGCTCCACACCAGTCCTGCTCCTCCCCAGCTATTTCTTCTTCTTCTTCTTTGGGGGCTCATCCTCGGAGCTGCTGTCTGTGCTGCTGCTGCTGCTGGAGGAGCTGGAATCTGACTCGAAGTCAGAGGAGGAGGACGAGCTGCTGGAGGAGGGGGAGGAGGAGGAGGAGGAGTTGCTGTCCTCACTGTCACTGTCTGAGGAGGAGGAGGACGAGGAAGAGGAGTCCTCGCTGTCGGAGGAGGAGTCGCTGGCTGAGCTGTCACTGCTGCTGCTGCTGGAACTGGTGACACTCTTGGACCTGAGGGAGAACAGAGAGCTGAGCACAGCCCTGCCAGAGCACACACACACAGCGTTCCCTCTGCTCTGCTGCAACAATCCAAAGATCAATTACTGAAAATTTCCACACCTCACCATGGAAGTTTCCAGGCCTCACCACCTCAGACGAATCCCTGTGCCCTCCCCTCCCTTCTCCACCGCTGGACGTGGATTTGGGCCATTTGAGCAATGGCAGGGTGGCCCCAGGACATGAAATAACCCAGCAGAGAGGGGCAGGCAGGGAAAGCTGGCCAGGGTCTCATTCCTAGCCCTGAGCAGGGGCTTTGCTGCCCTGAACTGGCCAAGCCCTGGGGAAAATGAGCCAGGCTCAGTCCCTGCCTCACCACTGCAACAGGGAAATTCTGCCACTGCAAGAGCCAGGGGAGGTTTCAGCACAGATTTCACCAAGGTCAAAGCTGCTCCCAGCAAAAACTTCTTAGATTACTCCTGGCAGAGGAACCCAAAGTACCTGCCACAACAGGATGCTTGTGTTTTCCAGGTGGAGGAGAAGGGTGGAAACAATCCAAGGTTAAGACAGAATGATGAACGCAGCAAAGATTTCTGTATGCTTTGCATTTTTTTTTTAATGTTCAGCCCTTCCTGGGGCCATTGTTTTCAAGACCAATGTCTCTGATTTAGGGAGGTGATAGGAATTCCAAGAAACTACAACTCAATTCACCCAGAGATCTTTCCCTGAAGTACAAGACACTGATTCACCTCCCTTCCCGCCAAAGTCAATCAAAGAACATCCAAAAATGTAAATTATGATAATGCAGAATCTTGTTCCCATTAGAAAATGAATGCAGTATTTTTAATCAGAGGGTTTGGTTCAATGTAACAGCCCAGGAAGTGCCTGTGTTAAGGTTACTGAAGAGTGTGAGGGTTTTTCATCACATCAGCCCTGTCAGCTGACAAACGTGGGTGTGGATTAAGCCACAAAGCACTGAAGTTTCTGTAGCACATGTGTAATCTGCTGCCTCTGTGTGCAGACACAACGACCGTTCATTGCTGATAAATCCATGAGGGCTGCTTAAACACTGACTTTTCTGGGGAAAAAACAGCACAACACCTCTGGGAAAGCACAGAACTGTTAAAGTAGGTACCACTCATCCTCCTCAGGACAAGTTTCCATGAGTTCACCTCTGGTTCTGTGTCCCTGTGAGGGCCAAGTGCTGTTGGAGCCCAGGCTGGCACCCCCAGGCTGGCACCCCCAGGCTGGCCCTGCTCTGCTCTGGCACCCCAGGGGTTTCTGTGCCACTGACACCCAAAAGGCACAATTGTGGGCACAGCCACAGCTGGGCCTGAGGAGAACAGGGAATGGGCAGGGAATGGGCAGGGAATGGGCAGGGAATGAGGACACAATCCTGCCCCTCAGCCAGGCAGATTCACCTGTGCTCCAGTACCAGGTGGGCTCTCAGTGGATAACTCGGGCATTCCAGGTGGGACACTGAGGCCAAGGAGCACCTGGAAGGTGGCTCTGTCACCTGAGGTCACAGGGCTCTGCAGCAGCTGCTCTGCCTCAGCCTGTTTTTCTGGTTAGGCCCGAGCTCCCTTATTAGTGTTTATATCAACACAAACACACTCTGTGGAAAAGGTTTGTGCTCCTCCTGCCAGAACCCAAGCTTTTACACATTTATTTTAAATCTGGAACTTGTAAATATGCTGGATTCTCCACATTTAACTCTTCCCATGTTATAATCGAAATCTAAATAGCAAACTGACTGGAAAGGAATTTATATTGATGGATTATTCTGGGCTTGCATAGAAGCAGGAGAATAATTCAAATCTACTAGAGCTTTAAAATTTCAAGGAAGAAGTGCCCAAACCACCCCCTTCCCCATGAACCCTTTTGCTCTGTCCATTTTTGCACTGGTTTGGAGCTCAAATATTCTGTAAATAATTATGCCAGCAAAGGCTGCAGTGTCTGAGGGACTGAGGCAGGAAGAGGCCTGAGCTGCCCAGCTCAAAACCAGGAAATTCATGATCTCACCAGTCCTGAGTAACTCCAGCAATAAATTGGCACTTCTGGGAAAGCAGCCCTTGCTAGAACACCCTGAGACAGCCCGCTGCAATAAACCACATTGCACAGGACAGCCTGGAATAAACAACACTTTAAAGATCTGCTCTGCCTTATTTACTGCCTGCCACACACAGCAAAGGCCTGGCCTTCAAACACCTCCTGAAACTGGGTTAGATCAGCCTGGGACACAGGAGTGACACTGAAGGGGAAGAGATGCTGGGCTGTTACTGACAGGCATTCCCTGGGGTGAAACTCAGCACCATTCCACAGTTACAGCCACAGCTCTGCCTGCTCCTCCTCTCCATTTGCTAGGAAAGCAAATTCCCAAGTAAACATTGATGCAAGGTAAAGTACAAACAATGGCAAAAGAGCTCCTGGCTCCCACCAGGACGCGGGGAGGGCCAGGGTCATTTCCTGGATTTTGCTTTAGTTTGGGATCAAGGGGGTTTCGTTTTGTTTTGGGGTTGGGCTTTTTAAGATGTTTTATTTCATCCTCTAGACAAAGCTTGAGGGAGAGAGAAGTGGCAGGAGAAGGGAATGAAAAGTACAGAAGCAATGAGAGACCAGAACCCCTGAGCCAGTCTTGTTTCAGAGACTACTGATGGACTCTGAGCAAGAAATGGGAAGACTTTTATTCCTACAGCAAGATCACACAGGGGGAGAAAAACCAGCAGGGAGAAAAACAGAGAATAAATTTTTGAGAGATTTTGGACAGGGAGAAGTAGAAATTCTCCAGATGCCTGTCAGACAAAAGCTGTAACAGCCTCAAAGCAGAACACCCAAAACTTATTTACACAGGTTCTTTTGCCACCTCCCTCCCAAAGTCCTGGGCCCAGTCCTCCCCAGTCCCCACATACCTTTTTTTCTTGGTCTTCTTTTCTGCAGCACTTTCTCCAGCACTAATTAAGGGGGGAAAGATAATGGCTTTGATTAATGCAATACGAAAATGAAATGAATAGCAGCACACTGAGGCTGAGTTTAATATTCAAAGGGCACTGCACAGCACAGTCCTGTGCAAAGCAGAGCAAAACCCACCTGAGCCAGGGGAGGAAACCTCAGCAATTCCCCCTTAATTTTCTCTGCTATTTATGCTCTGCTCTCCCCCTTGTATCATTTTGTAGGGACAGCAGCAGCTGGGATGTAAAGGCACAGAAGGAAAGGATACAAAGAAGTTGTGTGTAACTACATGTAGCAATAAGTGAATTGATTGAAATCAAGGGTAAAAGCTTGACTTAGCCCGTAGCTTTCACATTTCTTTCAAGTGCAAAAAGAAACAGAAAAGTCCATTTATATTGCCGCTTTCCAGCTGTGTGTCTGTCAGACTCCCAAGTGTTCATCCCCTCACAGTTTTAGTAGTGCCACAGAAGAAAGTTCTTTGCGTGCCACCACAAAAATGAGATTTCTCCAATTTTTTTATTTTCACACACAAGGTATGAAAACATTACCAGCACAGAAGAGTTCTCCAGACTCCCCACGCTCTCCTGGGCAAGAGGAAGACTCTCTGATATTCAGATTCCATAACTCCTCCCATCCATATTTACATTCCTAGGGCCTCAGACCCCCTGCAGGTAACCAGGGGGGGCCCAGGAAGGAGGAGTCCCTGTGAGAACAGAACTGAACCCCACTGCACCTTTGAGGAGACAGGACCTAGCTCAGGGAGCGCCTCCCTCTCGTGTGTGAGGTGAGGGTTACTCAGGAGTTACTCCAGGAGCTCCTACTGTGCTCAGGTCTGACACTCCCTCCATAAACCGAGCCCTAAACCCAGCTCAGGGCTGGCTCAGAGCTGCAGCAGCCCCAGGAATGAGCACTCCCCAGCTCCCTGCTCTGGGCTGCAGGCACTGGGGGTCACTGACACCTCCAGAGGGGCCAACACAGCAAGCACAGGGAGCCTGGGACAAGTGGCAAAGGAGTTCATGCTGGGAAAGCCTGGATGAGGCTGTCAGGGGTAAATATTGACCTTTCTAAGCTGGGTTTGCCTTCTGGTTAATGATTCCTGCGTGGCTCTTTAAAGGTGGTGACACAGGCTGGCCAAAGCAGACCTGTGGGAGACCCAGCTTCTCCAAAGGCAAGGAGAACCTCACAGAGTGCCCCAAAAAGCACAAGTGTAACCCAGAAATTGTTTCTTCATGACAAAAAAGCTTCATCTTTGGAAGCACAGCCCTGGTGGCTGAGGCACAGGATCCTCTGGCACAGCTGAGGAGCCCACAATGACAGCAGCCCTGGGAATGCTGGGCCAGCTTTGACTGCAGATGAAGCACTGCTCCCACCTGGGCATTGCTCAGGTTTCCTTTCTCAAGGAAAGGATTTTCCCCAGCACCTGCCCCTCACTGGAACAGCCCCAAAGCTCCTTCTGTGCCAGACTGGCCAGTCCTGTAACTCCCACACAAAGCGATCCCACACTCAGGTTCAAGCCCGAGGACAGGACAAGGAATTGCACCCTCAATTCACCATCCTCCAGTGGTAACCTGCAGAGTCCACCAGAAAAGGGGCAGAAAAGCAACAAGGAAGTTATCTGAGCTTTAAACTCAAACTTAGCCTAAAAATCTTGAGTCTCTGAAGAGACTCTGCCTCCAAATGGAGCCAAACGTCAGAGTCCAAGCACTGCTGATCTATCTCCAACACTGGTGACTCTAATTACTCCACAATTACTCACTGGATGAGAATTCATTTCAAACCAATCACTTGACACCACTCTCCTCCCAAGCCAATGAGTCCCCAGTGCAGGCAGGGTTTCAGCCCTGTGCCTCAGAGCTGCTGCTGGGCTGGGGCAGCTGAGGGAGCCCTGCCTGAGCTGGCACCCCTGCCTGTGCCAGCAGCAGGGACAGCGCTGGGAATGCTGTCCCCAGCTCCCATCCCGGCAGGGACAGTGCCTGAGGACACCTGGCCACAGCCTCAGCAATGCCAGGGGCAGGGAGTGGCACTGGGAGTGACCCTGCCTGTCCCTCTGCAGCTCCCAAAGCCAAAAGGACCCTGGCACAGGAACTGCATGGAAAACTGAGGTGCTGCATCACTTCAGCTTGTCAAAACTATTATTAACCTGGGGAAAACACTGAAATGTACTCCCAGGGCAAAGGGGAAAGGAAATCAGGTGCCACAGGCAGAGCTCTGTTCAGGTTTCTCTGCTCCTTCCCCTTTTGGGCTGTCACCAGAGGAAATAATTGTGCAATTCAGTGAGCTGTTTTCACTTCAGGCTTGGTTAAGGCTGATAACCCAACTCTCCCTCACCTGTCTGAGCCCTGCAGCAGGGCCAGGTTTAACTGCAGCTCTGAGCAGCACATCTGGACACAGGGCAGGAATTGCTGCTTGCTAGAAATAAACCTATAGCTTTCACTGCCTGGACAGCACAGGAACGTGAAATCAAACAAGCAAGGAATTCAGGAAACTGCTCAATTACTCCAAGTGATTTAACTTTGCCTCAGTGCATGGCTTTTGTTTCAGACAGGCCAAAACAGTTTTAAATGTATTTCAGATGAGCAGGTGTTGATGAAATTAAAATGTTGATTTCAATTCTCTGGGACCTGAGTATACATAATTCACCTAACACACAAATCAGCTCCAACATTAAATCAAGCACACATTCCACAGTCTGGAGGAAAAGATCACAGAAAATGGTCTGGGACAACATCTTTTATTTCAATCACAAAGCAGACATTTCATCCTGCCAGTCTTACCTCTGCTGCAGCAGGAGCTGCTTTTCTTTCTCCTTAAGGATTTTGGCCAGCTGAGCTGTCCTGGAAGGCCTGTGCAGGTATTTTCTCTTCCCTTTACATTCATATGTCCAGTGGCCAAACTCTAAACACTTCTGACACCTCACATGCTGCTTGTTGGCCTCCCTAGAAAAATGGAGAATTGCTTAAGTAACTCATTCCAGGTCTGCTCTACACAGTGAAAAAACATTCAGGTTTTTATCATGCAGCTTTAATCAGGCTATGGTTAAAGCAGATGTTCACAGGTGCTTCAGGTTTTCCTTTGGATCAGGACATGGGCAGTAACACCAAGCAGACAGATCTTCATTAATTAAAACACTTGCACATGGGAACAATCACACTGCTCACTTTGTTGCTATCCAACAGCTGCAGGGAAATCACTGAAATTCTGGTTTGGAACCAAGAGCAGCAGCTTCACTTCCAGTTCCTGAAATGTAACACCCAAGTCCCAAAGTGCCCAACCCTCACCCAGATCCCAGGAAATCCAAATAAGCTCCACCAGGAGCTGGTAAAGCCTGGCACAAGGTTTATCTTTGGGACAATCAGATTCCTGCTCCCTCTGTGCAGACCTCCCTGGCTGCCTGTCCCCAAACACCTGCAGCAGCAGGGACATTGCACACTCCATTCCAGGTCTCACTCTGCCAAAATCCCGTGGGCATTTTTAGTGATCAGGGAAGGGAAAGCCCTCCTGTTTTCATGCTGGAGCTCTTAAGCTGCTTTTCTGAAGCTCTACAAAGCTGTTTTGCTTCCTGTCCCAGCTGCTCTCCTCCTTTACAAAGAGGGGAACTCACCCAGGCCAGGAGCAGCCCAAGGTCACAGCCAAAATTAGTCCTGAGCTCAGGGCTGTGCCACTGCAGCTCCCTGCCCCTGCTGCCCCCTCCTGCCACCTTCAGCTTTTGTTCCAAGCACCAAAACATGAACTTTTCAAGGCCAGCCCATCTAAACTCTCTGAAATGCAGCCTGGCTGATCTAGGAAGCTGCCAGCCCCATATGTGAGGATGAAGTGAGAGACCAGCAGGGAGCATTTCCCCTCCTGCAGGCTGGGAATTGCTTCTCCCTCAGCTTCAGGCACCACTCTCTGAGCCAGCTCCTGCAGGGAACCTTGTGCTGAACATTCATCCCTTAGAAATACTCAGCTAAAGCAGCACGAAAATCTGACTAAACTCCCACCTGCAGAGCACAATGAACCTGGCCTCGGGCAGGAGCCAGAATATCTGGGAATGAGCAGAAAAGGCTCCTGGCCACAGCAGCTACACTCAGCAGTGATGGCTCCCCCTCCTCCTCCTCACTCAAACCCAAACCCGTGTTTGTCAAACAAAAGCTGAAAAACCAACGCCAGCTCCCCACGGGAGTGGGACACACATTTGCTGCACAAAAAAGCAAAAGTGTGGTTTCCTCGTTCCAGGGCTCTGCAATCGGATCCCCTCGGTGCCGAGGGAATTCCTGGATTGCAACATCCCCGTCTGAGCAAGAATCGCTCGCTTGGCTTTCCTCTGCCTTTCTGACAGTCCCGCAAACTCATTACAACAACATGAACCTGAAGGTTCCTGTTTCACGTTTGAACTGCTGGGTCTGCGATGAGGAGCAAGGGAATGACCCCGGGAGCTCCTCCCGAGCCCCGTTCCCGTTCCCAGCGCTCCCCATGGCAGCGCCCAAGGCCAACAACTCCCTCAGCCTCTGCCCCGCCGCTCTCGCGGGACGCCCTGAGCAGAAAGGAGGACCCACCGCGACCCTCGAGTCCAAGCCCCGGCGGTGCACGGACACCCGAGGCCGCCACCGTTTGGCCCCAGCCGTGTTTTGGGGCGGTTTCCCCTCGGCCGAGCTGCGGCCCCTCCCGAGACACAGCGCAGCGGCGCGGAGGCCTCAGAGCGCGGGGAAAACGCCGGGCATCGCGGCCCCATCGGTGCCTGCCGCTCCTCCGCCCGAGCCCGCCCCGCGCGGCCCCCCCGCTCCCACTCACGCCTGTCTGCGGGCAATCAGCCGGTGCATGGGCGTCGCCATCTTAACGGCCGCGCCGGAAGTGAGCCTGCCGCGGGGAACGGCGGGACGAGTGGCGGCCGCTGGGCATGCCGGGACATGCGACCCTGTGGGCAGGGCGCGGCCGCCATAGAGAGAGAGTCCTCCGGGGTCAGAGAGAATGAGACCTCCAGGGTCATAGAGAGCGAGACCTCCTGGGTCATAGAGAGTGAACCCTCCGGCGGCCAGAGCGGCAGCGCCCGCCGGCCTGCACTCTCTAGCGCCCCTGTCGCTCCCGCCGTGTCATTGCAGCGCCTGGGCCCGGTCCCTTTTTGGGTCCCTTTCCCCATTAAATATAAATATTTATAAATATATTGAATATAAAGAATATATTTATAAGTATATTAAATATATAAAATATAAATATTTCTATGAATATTAAATATAAATAATATTTATTTCCCTGCAAATTCCCGACCTAAGGGAGCTGGTGGAGCGGCTCCTGGGTAACGCTGGTAGCACAGGAGGTGGGGTTTTGGAGAGCTGGGTTATCCTTGCTGCGATTTATCCGTGTCAGAGCCTGGAGCAGGCTGCCTGCACATCCCTCACGCAGGGCATCACAAAGCCCTCTCCTATTTGAATATCCCAGAATAGCCCGCTGAGCCCGGGTCGGGTGACGTTGAGGGCTATTTCCAGCAGCCCCAGGAAGCGTCTGTGACAGGCAGCAGCCCAGGGACAGGCAGCAGCCAGGGGTTATTTTCAGGCCACATTCGTGGTCGTGTTTGGCTGGCGTTAATGAATTCCGAGACTGAACTGGAATGGCAATCCACTGTAAACTGAGGCTGGGGCTGCTGGGAGCACACTGGGACACACTGGGACACACCGTGCTGCTGGATTCCGGAGAAATCACAGATCTGCTTCTTCTGCAGGTCACAGCAAAGGAGGGTGTTGGGTGTGCCAGGCAAGGATTTATCATGAGTGCCCACGGCCTGAGTGTGCCCAGGCCTGAGCGAAGCCCAGGGTGGATGCTCTGAGGAGCAGAGTGTGGCCAGGACTGGCTGCTGGGGCCCCTCTCCCCCAGCTCCCTCTGTGCCCAGGGCAGCAGCCCTGGCAAGTCCCAGGCTCATGTGCCAGGGTCACTCCGGGGCGCTCTCACCCCCTCTGACACCGGGCTCTGCTCCCTGGCTCCCTCTGGAAAAATCCTGAAAGGATGCCGGGCTCCAGGGACTGTGGCTGCACAACATTCCCACACAGGGGCAGCAGCCAGGGCCGTTCCTTGGCACCTCGTGCTAAGCTCAGGCGATGCCGGAGAGGCTGCCTGGAGCAGAGGCTGGGCAGAGCTACAGCAATAAATAGGTTTTTATGAAAAGCCCTTCACAGGACACACCTTGGGCAGTGCCAGAGCTCGGCCGTGGCTCCACCCCAGAGGGATCCTGGCCACGAGTTCTCACCCTTTGATAAGTTTGGGTCCATTTCCATGCTGGGGTTCAGTGTCCAATCCCAGCTCCGGGTGATGCAGTCCCACCCTCCCAGGTTGCTCCCTCCATTCCCTGTTGTTTGCACTTTTGGGGCTGAAGCTGCAGCGGTGTCCTTGGTTGTGGGGCTGGACAAGGATTGTTCTGTGGGACTGAGCTGGGAGCAGAACTGCTGACACTTTATAGGGAGCTCAGAGTTATAAACCAATGCAGTGCAGTCTGGAAAATATGAAAGCTAAAACTTAAGGCATCACAAGGACGCCCGAGGTCAAACACTTCATTAATATTCTGTCATTAGCACCGTGATGCAATTCCTGAAGCAATTCCCAGCCCACTGCAGCTGCCAGAGAGGAATGGCTGAGGCAGGCAATGGCTCTGGGGCAGGAGTCCCTCCTGCCTGCCCCAGAGTGTCTCTGCGTGTGTTCCGTGCCACTGACACAAGGAGCAGCCGTGTAAATACAGCACCGGGGCCTTCGTAACGCACTGTTGGTGACACACTGCACTGCCACGCAGCTTTTGGCGTGTTTCATCGTGGAATTCAAAGTATTCCTAAACATTCAGTTTCCACGAAACTCACAGATGTAAGTATCAAGGTTAGGTTTGTGTTAGGATGAATCCACCAATCCCTCAAATTCAGGAATAATCAGAACACGAATTCCAGAATGGTTGTGTTTTAAGGACCCTAAAGCTCACCTCATTCCACCCCTGCCATGGACAAAGACTCCTTCTGCTGTCCCTGGCGCTCCTTCTGCTGTCCCTGTCCAGCCTGACACTGGACGTTTCAAGTGATGTCTAAATCGCTAATGAAAAATTCTAAGGAGGCGTTGAAGTCCTTTCCTAGAAAAACTGTGTTTCCAGAGACTGTGCTTGTAAAATCATTACATCTCATGGTGTGCGCGCTGTTCCCATCCACATCCGTCACCCTCAGGTCCTTACATCACGGGCAAGAAAAAAGTTTCACTGAACAACTTTTCTGTGGCACCGACCGCTTCGGATTGAGGGCAACAACTCAGCGACCTTTGCAGTGCTGCCAAGTTGTGCCTTTGTCGCCTTTTTCTGCCATTCCTGACGCAAGGAAAGAACTTTGGCGAAGGGGAAGGCGCCGAGCGCCCTCAGAGCCCGCCCAGAGCGCCCGCCCTCAGCCCCGCCGCGCGCCCCGCGCTCTCGCGAGATCTCGGCCGCCCTCAGCGCCGGCGCGGCCGCGGCCCGACGGGATCTTTCGAGAATTGCCGGTACCGCGCTCCCCCCTCAGCGCCGCCGCCATGTCCGTGGTGGGCATCGACCTGGGCTTCCAGAGCTGCTACGTGGCTGTGGCCCGCGCCGGCGGCATCGAGACTGTCGCCAACGAGTACAGCGACCGCTGCACGCCGTAAGTGAGCCCGGGAGCCGCGCTGAGGCGGCGGCAAGGCGCCCGCGGGGCCCGGCGTGGCGGGGCCGGGGAGGGAGGGAAGTGGCGGGGCCGGGAGGAGCGGAGGTGTAAAGTGCTCGCGGAGATGCGGTAAAGCGCGGTGGGCACGGACGGGGCTTCGGGAGGCCCGCTCAGCTGCCTTTCGTAGGATCACAGAATCATAGGATGCTAAGGGAGTGGAAGGGACCTTAAAGCTCATTCAGTTCTACCCCTCTGCCTTGGGCAGGGACCCCTTCCACCATCCCAGGTTGCTCCAAACCCCGTCCAGCCTGACCTCGAATGCTGCCAGGGATGGGGCAGCCACAGTTCTTGTGGGCAGTCTGTGCCAGTGCCTCCTGACCCTCACAGAGAAGAATTTCTACCCTACATCTAATTTAAATTTCCCTTCTTTCAGTCGAAGCCGTTCCCCCTTGTGCTGTCAGTCCGGTTCCTGATGCAGAGTCCCTCTCCGGTTTCCTTGTAGCCCCTTGAGACGCTGCAAGACGCTCCGAGGTGTCCGCACAAGCTGCTCATTGCCAGGCTGAGCAGCCCCGGCTCCCCCAGCCTTTCGGTGCAGTACGGCCGGTTTGTCCCCCCCGAGGCGGGGCTCTGCCCTTGGGATTAGAAGGACGGGGGCTGTGAGTGTAGAGAAAAGCATCCCTGGCTGCTGGAAGTGCCAGACTTTAATTCCCTGTGTGTTCGTACGCCGTGTTCTGGGAGCACGGCTGTCATTCCCCTGCGGTCCCAGCACAGCAGGACCGGGGAGGGCTGGGCTGGTGCCGGGCTTGGTGTGAGTGAGCCATGGCTTGTTCTGGGATCAGAGTTTGGAAAGCTGCTCAGCAGCCTGCAGTGCCAGGACAAGGGGAATGGCTTCAAAACTAATGGAGAGGAGGTCTGGTTTGGATATTGGGAAGAAATTCTTCCTTGTGAGGATGGGGAGGCCCTGGCACAGGGTGCCCAGAGAAGCTGTGGCTGCCCCTGGATCCCTGGCAGTGCCCAAGGCCAGGTTGCATGAAGCTTGGAAAAACCAGATAATGGGAATGTTCCTGCCCATGGCAGGAGGACTTGATGAACTTCAAGGTCCCTCTCAATCCATGATTCCATGGTACAATGTGGTCAGTAAATTCTAGCCCTAATACTGTTTCTGGAGTTCCCCTCTGTGGCAGTGAGGCTTTATTTGAGCAGATCCCGAAGTGGCTGTCTCGGTGAGACAGCTGCATCATCTTTGATGTTTGGGCTGTTTTAGATCCCTCACATCACCTCAGAAAGCCCAGAGTGACCTTGCTTCTCATTAGACCATACATCACTGTTTGCTTGCCCCTGTCTCTAAGCAATGAATAAATGCAGAAGGAAATTTTGAATTCAGTGTATGTGCCCGAGTATCTGGAGATCTCTTAAGTGTTCTCAATAACGTGGAAATTTAAAGGTTAGATGTTCTGGGAAAATATTGAATATAGAGAGGATCAGAGCCGGTTTCTAATAGCTGTAGGTATTTGACCCTCAGGGAGTTGAAGTCCTGCTGATAAATATATCTGTATATTTGAGATGTGAGCACAAATCTCCCTTGTTGAAGGAGATGAGCTAAATAAAATATCTGACATGGTGCATCTCTTGGGAAATAGTTCAGTTATGGGAGCCTGAAGTGAAATTGGAAAAAATGAGCAAAATGCAAATGAGAGGGTTTTAGCAGGGCTTAATCTCCAGGTGCTGTTCTGAGGGAATGCAGAGAAACATTCTGCAAGCAGACCCTTCCATTAAAAGAACTCCTGCATGGTTTTTAAGTGACTTGGAATCAGAAGCCTGGTTCAAAAATCAGTGCTGAGCAGTTGTTACAGGGGGGAAGTCATGCAAGGTGTAGTGACAGGTTTCCTCAGGCACTGGCTCATGGTCAGGGTTAAACACTGTGTTTTGTGTGTGTTATTGTAATAATTTGTGTTATTAAAATAAATCTCCATGAGTGCATTGGGCTGAGTTCAGTGGCACAGATGACACTCCCACAGAATCTGCCTTGGATTCTTCTGGAGTGATGTAAAATTTGAACTTGTACATCCCAAAGCTGTGCAAACTGTGTTTGTCTTTGGACATGGAAAAGTGGTAGAGAGAAAAGTAGTGGAAACTGAGAGGAAAAAATAAGATAGTTTAATTATTTCTGTAGGGATAAAGGGCCTTGAGTTAAGTGAAATCATTGTGATTGACGTTCTGGAGCTGGAGCTGGTGAT